CCGCGGCCGCGGCTGGAGCCGCCCTTTGTCCTGTCCCGTATCCGCCGACGCCTTATCACGCAACGCCGCCGCCCGCTGTAACGCATCATCACCATCATCATCATCATCAAGGTTGGTAGCCTCAATGATCTCGCGACTTCTTGTTCTTCTTCCTCGAGCGAGAATTTTCTGCGATTTTCAGTTTCGCGCGTTCGCATCCGCGTTGCATTAGACGATTATATCAATGATATACGTACATGTAATACATAGATACGTATAGGTGTCAGAAGTGCTATTATCGATAACTCTTAAAGGCTATCGTGGTGGAAGTTTCACCCCGTCTTCGTGTTACTTAGTTGATCTTGTTGTTATCCGATCGAGTATTCGACTCGGCTGATTTCTGAGATAAAATGGAACGCACTGGGTGAAATTTCGTCGCTCGTAGTATCAACGTGATTCCCTGATAGCCTTCAAGGGTTGCATTCGGAGCAAAGTTCTCGCTCGAGACGCCAACCTACCGGGCACGGTACGTGACACATTGGTGGAAGAACACAGTAGGTGTGGCACCTCCTCTCTGTTCGTATCCCGATACGACATAGAGGAGGAACAAAAACACAAACCTGTCCAAAAAAAGAAAACTTCGTTCTCCACCAGCGCAACTTGAAGTGTGCGTTCAGTTCTAGCAGCGAGCTCGCGGGATATCAGGCAACAGTCGCGTCTCTTTCTTCCATCCTGATACGAGCGCTGAATAATCGAATTCGAACGAACCTCTCCATACCAATTTGGTACCGGTGCGTTTCCAGTTGGGCCGACGACGCCGGGCAAGCTGTCACCGTCTTCCCCGACCGCTATTCATCCCGGTGTCGGCCATCAGACGGCTACTTCCGTCGGTCTACAGTGGCCGAGTTCTCACACGGTTCACGACATCCTCGCCACCAGCTGCAACTTGATCAATTCGCAGTCGTCTCCATCGCCAACGTCGCCATTGTGCGCTACGGTGAACAATAATCATCACCATGGTCACCACCATCATCATCATCAGAGCAACGACAACGCTGCCAGCAACAATAACAACGAGGAAACCAGCGGTTACCATCATCCGCACCACCATCACCATCATCAGCAGTATTACGCGTCGGCTCTGTACCATCATCATCATCACCATTCGGACACCGTGACCCCCGTGGCAACCACGTCACCGGTTCTCACTGTACAGTCGATCATGATGCAGTCGTCGGCGACGAACAGTCAACCAGCTAGTCCCTGTAATTGAAACGATCGTGACGTTAGATAGGATTTTATCGGATAGTAAACGCGAGTGATGGAAAGACTAAGTAACTGGATCGTGGTATAAGACATATACATAGTGGTTGCATATGTATCCATGAGTTAATAATCGATATGTAATTAGGGAAAAGGACGATCGAAACGACGAAAGTAAGTGGTTGTAAGTGAGAATAAAGACAAGAAACATAGGAATAGAGAAAGAGATATGAATAAGTACCTAATGGGGTGTGGCTGGCAAGAACGGTATATCATCTCACCAGTATTATATATTTTTATCGTCATTTGCCAAGAGTGCCTTCCTTCGAGTGCCATAAAGAAAATTGTACGTTCGTTATAATTCGTGAAACGGACTGTGAGAGAAGACGATCGAGATTGTCGCAACTTTTGAAAAAAGGATTTGCACGTTACTCGTGGAACCTGCGAATACTGTTTTAATCGTTTACCTTGTTTTATTTTTTCTTTTTTTTTTTGTATGTTTGTTCAAACTTTGCGTAGATTTAATGATATAATCGTTAAGGAAAGAAGATCGTTTATTCCCAGCGAAGCGAGATTTACGAGCGAGACGTTCGAAAAAAGCTCCCCCGATAAATTGGGAGGATGTTGTCGATATTATTTAACTGATAAACACGTACGATCGTGTCACGATTGTGCGATTATAGTCCTCTGCCATGCTTTTTTATGGAATGCAACTTTTGTCATTGGGAAATATATATTTTCCGTCAAGTTAAACAACGAGCTTACGTACTTCTTTTCCTTCTTCCAATCTTTTTCCATCCATACTTCGAAATCGAAGAGGGAAATCTACAAAGGGCGAAGGTACCTGGTATGTATTAAACAAATTTATCAATCAAAACCAAATTGTCGGAATGGCGAGATTTAAGTCTATCTATGGTTTCTATAATTACTACAAATACACAAGTGCCTTGAATGAAATTAATACTAATTCTCAATAATTACGTAGCCGTCTATTTTCGTGATACGACTTTAGATCCACATAATAACCGCATAATATTATCTTCTACGTGTAACAAATACCACGCGAGTCAGTAGCATCTATCATTGTTGATCTGAGACATCGAAAAGATCGATCTGATAACAACGTATCTCAGACGGACTGTCTCTTTGCACGGCGACTTCGCTATAATTCACCGAAAATTTTTCCTCCTCCGACGTTAATTTACTTCCTAGCTCACGGCTCAGTTGGCACGCTGAAGAGTTCGAGAATACAACGGTGCTTTAGATTTCCTACAACTTCTCTTTTTTTTGGCACACCTTTCGAACGTTCGGTTCCCTACGGATGATAGTAAATAATTTATTTATTTTTCATCTTTTCTATCTTTATGTAATTTCCGAACGTTCAAATAACGCGGCCGTGTTTCAGTCGAAGTTAATCTGTTGCGGTGATCTTCTTAATTACCAAGGCTTCCGCGAAGCAAAAGGAGAAGTTCGTTTGAGACGCTGCGGTCCAGAATGAAAGAAAAACCGGCAGAGTCGTCGAGATTTAGTCGTCGGTGTGCTCGTGCAATCGCGAATTTCCAATCGATCGAAGCACAAGGTACGTATTCAGTTTGATCGCCGCTCCAGAAACAGTCGACGCCGTGCTCAAGAAACGACGCAGCAAGAGGAAAAGGCACAATATATTTACGTAGCTTCAGCGGCTAAACGCGAGTCTATAATTGCCAACTGTAAATTGCTGCGGTTGCTTGCATTTTAAATTTCAAACTCGAACGTTCAAATGTCCACACGTGCAAACGGAGCTTTAGATTTCAGCCGCTTCGTCTTGCAGGGAAGCTTTCAACAACCAAGAAATTAACTTTTGATCTTCGTTCCGTCGATTCTTGATTGACTGCGGTCAACCAACGAATGAAAGAGCGAGTAGAACGTATGTAGAAGAATGGGATAGTCGTAAAGCACGTTCGATGGTATTGTGTCCGATGGAATTATTGTCTATCTCGGGCTTTTACGTATTCTGTTAACGGTCTTGTAATAAATGCGCGTACATGGATCGATTCGCGCGTAACTACCGATAACGTGGACTGCTTGATTGATGCTTCCATTCCGAATAATCAGCAACGTTTCTCTGTAACCACAGATAATGGCCGTGCAATGTTTAATGAGCTGCGATATCGTTCTTAAGGCGTACAAGCTTACAACTAAATTAATCGTTTCCTCTCTTGTTTTTCACAGAAACAATGTTTCTGGAAGAGAGCTGGCCGTTAACGTTTTGCCATTTTAATTAAACTTCGACCGTCGAAATGCTCGTTGCATAAGGGAACCCTGTTCGCCACGTAGCTTCGACTCCGAGCAACGAGAATTATTTAAGAGAAGTAAGTACAAGTAATAATAAATCGCGGAATAATAAATACTATAGTATCCTTTCTGCTGATCTTAAATTTGCTAATGTTAATTATTTGCGACAACAAGCATGGATAGAGTACATAACACGCTCGGCGCGCTCTTCCGTGCAAGTACATACGCGAGCGCGCACGAGCGTACGAAAGCACCAAGTTATAAAAGCAAACGGACCGGCGTTGTCCAATCAGCGTTGATCGAGCGTGAAATCCCTCCTCTTCGACGAAATTAGACACCCACTTGGTGCTTCCAGCTTCACGATTCTTGGCCAAAATAACCAATGATAGTTTTTCCAATGGACCTCCTTTCAGCCGCCATTTATACAAAATCAACGTGGTCGCCATCTAAACATCGTTGGCTTATCATCGTATTTCATCGAAGAACGAGAAAGGACGAACTTCTCTAATTTCACGATCATCGCCTGTGTCGGAGACGATGTGACACCAAACAAACGAGATTCACGAAACTCTAAAAATTTGTTGAATCGTTAGCTTCGCTGCCGACGTACACGCTATATAACCGTTTGCCTTTTTCTGCTGATGTTTAGGCGAGTTATAACATAATGAGCATCGCGCCGGCATGACGGTCTGTCCCTTTGAAATACGAATATCCCCTTTTCCATTCCGCGGTGAGATACTCCGCCCCGATACTCTATTACTCCCTAGTCAAAGGAGCGACAGAACCTGCTCACGGGAACCGCTTCTTTGGAAGTCGTTCAGTGTCGGCTTTCCATGTTCTCATTAACAGCGGGCCGCTTTTATTAACCGCGAAAAAGAAAGGGGGATGCTCCTTGGTCCTCGTAGTCTCTCCTTCCTGAAAAATTCTTATACGTGCGTATTGTGGAGAGATTTTCTGCAAGAATGAAAGAAGGAAGGAGGAGGAACAGAGATCTTGTGACGGACCGTGTAATGACTCCACACTATGCAGTAACAAACGAGAGATTCGCGGATCAACCAACGGGTTGGTCCATAAGTGCGTGCGGTTTCGTATTCTCCGTCGATATTTACGACTTCTTCTCAACGTTGCGATAATTTTTGGACTCATCGTTCGAAGAATTCCGCGATCCAATCTCCCAGTCGTGGAAAGAAACATTCGCCTCGATTATAATGGTGGGAGCAAACATTTGTTTCCGTTAATCTCCGTATCTTTCGAACGATTAATCGCTTTGTTATTGGCACGGAAAAATATACGCGGAAAAAAGTACGGTCGCACGAAGGAAGAAAACAGAAGCTATCGAACGACGTACCTAAGGGTCATAGCCGATAGGCGATTATTACGAGATATAATATTCGATATGAAACGAAAACCGCGCGAACTATTATCGATTAAGGTAGACGTTTAATAATGACGATTTACTGATAAACGGAAGACGAATTATTAATCGTGGTAAAGAGACTTGGAGTATAACTCGAATTAGAACAACGTCCAAAAATTTCGTTCTTCAAACTACGTACATCGTCGTGTAGAAAACATACAGAGTAATTTATCTCGGATGTAAAGGCTCCATCAAACAGTTACAGGTTCTAATATCAGAGGAGTGGACGGACATTGGCCGTGAATAGGCGTATAAATTTCCACGGCAAATACACGTCAGCGGTTTTTCAACGAACATGAAGACCCAAGCGTGAGATAAAGGTGTTCCTGGTCGTTGTGTCCGGTTGCGATTCCTTGCCGTTTAAAATACGGCGAGTTCTGGTAGCGAGCGTTTTGCTTCGCGCGGCACGCCGTGCTCGCGAACTCCGTCGCGCTCGATTACGAGCTACGCCATGACGAAGATACGCTAATAAATTAACGGGTAAATAAACCCTCCGCGAGAGAACAGGCCGCGCCGCGTATCTGTCTCGCTTAGAATAGAATAGAATGTATTAGAGGAGCACGGGCACGATTAATGGGCTGAGATTTCGCGCAAGTGGAAAGGCGCAGCGTCAACCTCGAGCCGCACGATTTCCCGAGAACGAGCTGAGGTAAACACGTTGATGGAATAACTTTTCCGTACTTTGAGAAACGTGCAATTTTTCCGTACAGTCTGTACAAACCCTGTGACGAGTCCACTGCGCGCCTTTTACGTGTCAAGTTTGTCAGCTCGTAGTGTCCACACTTGGAAGAAGAACAACTCACGGTATTCTGTTTGCTGATAGAGCGTTAAATGGTCTTATAGACTGTCTTTGAATCATCGAGAATTTCAAAATCAATCCGTTAGAAACATATCGCATTACGATCTCACATTACATACACTGGTTAGGTATCTTACTTTTAATCGCATTGCGTTAAATACCAGCAATGCGAACTAATACTTGAATGGTAACTTATAACATGTAATATAATATTGTATATTCTAATAGGGTTTCCTTGTAAATAAATCGAAATTAAATCGTTCCTGTCACATGTTCTTTCACCTTCTCGATTCAAATATCGAAATTCAAATATTCGAAGATCTTGGTAGAATAATATCTCCAATCTGACATCATCTACGTTTAAACAGGATTCCTGATCTCTGCTTCTTCTTGTTCCATCTTCTCTTATCCCGACGACAATGAAGTCTCTTTCTCGATAGGAAATAGGACGAAGGGAAAAGAGTAGAAGGAAGCGTGGTAATTAAGAAAACGTCACCGTTCCCGTGGTCCAGCGTGGTTCCTCTCGTCTGGAGGCGAGTCTTTGGCGCGTTTTCCATTCGGTGTACAAATAGCTCGCAGACCCCTAGCCCCTGTCGGCTCCTCTCATGTCTCCGCGACGCG